TCATTGGACATCAACTTCTGGTCTTTGGACGTCATCGCAATTCCGAAAATGTCCATCTTGAAGAGAATTTGGCAGTATTTTCCACCTTTTCTGTAACCTGAAGCCGCCATCTTGCATTTCAAAATGGCGTCGTACAATGATGTCCGGTCTCTAGACGGCACCCTGATTCCAAAGATACCTCTATTGAAGGGTATTTGACAGTATTTCTGTCTTTTTCTGAAATCAGAAACCGCCATCTTGGATTTAAAAATGATGTCGAACATCGATTTTCGGTGTCTAGACGTCACCTTGATTCCGAAAATACCCATAATTAAGAGAATTTGACAGTTGTTCCCACTTTTCCCGAAACCGGAAGCCGCCATCTTGGATTTCAAAATGTCATTAGACATCAACTTCTGCTCTTTGGACGTCATCGAAATTAAGAAAATACCCATATTCAAGGGTATTTTGAAGTATTTCGCATTTTTTTATGAAACCGGAAGCTGTCAGCTTGGATTTCAATATGGCGCAGGACATCAATTTACGGTCTCTAGACCTCGCTCTAGACGTGATCCCGATTCCGAAAATATCCATATTGAAGAGTATTTGACAGTATTTCCCACTTTTCTAAACCCGGAAGCCGCCATTTCGGATTTCAAAATTTAATTGGACATCAATTTTTGGTCTTTGGACGTCATCGCAATTCCGAAAATGTCCATCTTGAAGGGAATTTGACAGAATTTCCCACTTTTACTTATATTGGATACCGTCATCTTGGATCAATGTCTGGTGTTAAAACGTCATCGCAATTCCGAAAATATCCATATTGAAGGATATTTGGCAGTAAAACTTTTTCTGAAACCGGAAATGGCGTCGGACAATGATGTCCGGTCTTTAGATGGCACCCTGATTCCGAAAGTACCTATATTGAAGGGTATTTGACAGTATTTCTCTCTTTTTCTAAAACCGGAAACCGCCATCTTGGATTTAAAAATGATGTCGGACATCGATTTTCGGTCTCTAGACGTCACCTCGATCCAGAAAATATTCATATTGAAGGGCATTTTAAAGTATTTTTTACTTTTTTTCTAAAACCGGCAGCTGCCATCTTTGATTTCAAGATGGCGCTGGACATCGATTTTCTGTATCTAGGCGTCATCCCGATTCCGAAAATATCCATATTGAAGGGTATTTGACAATATTCTGCACTTTTTCTGAAACCAATGACAAACGCGACAATTCCCAAGCCTGCTCAGGATGTTTCTTCCAGTGCCAGCGTCTCCAGGAAGTTGCTTTAGACTTCTACCGGAAGTATCTATCGAATTCTCCCAGAATTTTCGTTAGTTTTCCTATGGAAGTTTCTCCTTATGCTTCTTCTGTAGTATAAGTAAGAGAGAAGGATTAGCTATTTCCATTTAATTCCACTACCTTATTTGCTTATCCTTGACAGATACGCGTATTTTGTCACTGAAGAAGTCTGCACATTGTAGACGAAATAGACGTATCTGTCAAGGATATGAAATTAAGGTAGTGGAATTAAATGGAAATAGCCAATCCTTCTCTTTTATTCCAGAAGAAGCATATGGAGGAACTTTCAGAGGAAAACGAAACAAACTTCTAGGAGAATTCGATAGATACTTCCGGTAGAAGATTAAAGGAACTTCCTGGAGAAGACAGAAGAAACTTCCTGGAGACACTGGCACTGGATGAAACTGAGATAGTTTGGGAAAAACTTCTGGACAAGGTCGGAAGTTTCTACCGGCGAAAACCAGAGGGTTTTCGGGACAGTCGAAAGAAACTTCTAGGAGAATTTAGGAAACAAATTCCGGAAAAAAGTGATTTATGGAGGTTGATTTCAAAATGGCATTGGACATCAATTTCTCAACGGCGCCGGTGGTGTAGTGGTAAGCGTGATTACCTCTCACCCCAGCAGGCCTGGGTTCAATACCAGTCGGCGCCGCCGGGATGTTCTGAGGCATAACATCTCTGATCACGCCTTCCTTCGGATGGGAAGTAAAGCCGTTGGTCCCCGGTTCATGAGTTGATGGGTCGATAGGTAGGGTCCAGGTGTGGGAGCTGCCTTCCTGACACGTCGGTAGCATTGGTGCTCAGCACGGAAAACAAGATCGACGGGAAAAACAAACCAAAGGAAAAAAAAAAAAAAAAAACAATTTCTACTCTTTGAACGTTATCGAAATTTAGAAAATACCCATATTTAAGGGTATTTTGAAGTATTTCGCACTTTTTATGAAACCGGAAGCCGTCATCTTGGATTTCAATATGGTGCTGGACATGAATTCACGGTCTCTAGACTTCGCTCTAGACGTGATCCCGATTCCGAAAATATCCATATTGAAGAGTATTTGACAGTATTTTCCTCTTTTCTGAAACCGGAAGCCGCCACTTTGGATTTCAAAATTTCAATTTCTGGTCTTTGGATGTCATCGCAATTCCGAAAATGTCTATCTTGAAGGGAATTTGACAAAATTTCTCTCTTTTTCTAATATTGGATGCCGTAATCTTGGATCAATTTCTGGTGTTGGAACGTCATCGCAATTCCGAAAATATCCATATTGAACGAAATTTGACAGTATTTTCCACTTTTTCTGAAACCGGAAGCCACCATCTTTCATTTCAAAATGGCGTCGTACAATGATGTCCGGTCTTTAGACGGCACCCTGATTCCGAAAATACCTCTATACATCATTTTACGAGCGCTTATGGCCGCCACAAACTGACTGAGTTTTTGGTAGGGAACCTATGATTTGACGTTTGGGTTGTGTCGTTTGACGTGTAAACGTTCAAATTTGAACGTTTACACGTCAAACGACACAAGCCAAACTTCAAATCTTATGTTCCCTACCAGAAACTCAGCCAGATTGTCGCGGCCATAAGCGATCGTAAAAGACTGGATTGAAGGGTATTTGACAGTAACCAGAAACCGCCATCTTGGATTTAAAAATTATGTCGGACATCGATTTTCGGTTTCTAGACGCCACCTCGATTCCGAAAATATCCACATTGAAGGGTATTTTAAGGTGTTTTTTACTTTTTCTAAAACCGGCAGCTGCCATCTTTGATTTCAAGATGGCGCTGGACATCGATTTACGGTCTCTAGACGTCATTCCGATTCCGAAAATATCAATATTGAAGGGTGTTTGACAATAATTTCCACTGCTCAGGATGTTTCTTCCAGTGCCAGCGTCTCCAGGAAGTTGTTTTATAGTTCTACCGGAAGTATCTATCGAATTCTCCCAGAAATTTCGCTGCTTCTTCTGGAGTAAAAGAACGAGAGAAGGATAAGTGGCTTCCAGTTAATTCCACTACCTTATTTGCTTATCCTTGACAGATACGCGTATTTTGCCTACAATGTGCAGGCTTCTTCTGTGTCTTGTACTAATACTCGACTGACACAAGTCACTGAAGAAGTCTGCACATTGTAGACGAAATAGACGTATCTGTCAAGGATATGCAATTATGGTAGTGGAATTAAATGGAAATAGCCAATCCTTCTCTTTTATTCCAGAAGAAGCATATGGAGGAACTTCCAGAGGAAAACGAAACAAACTTCTGGGAGAATTCGATAGATACTTCCGGTAGAAGTTTAAAGGAACTTCCTGGAGAAGACAGAAGAAACTTCCTGGAGACACTGGCACTGGATGAAACTGAGATAGTTTGGTAAAAACTTCTGGACAAGGTCGGAAGCTTCTACCGGCGAAAACCAGAGGGTTTTCGGGACAGTCGAAAGAAACTTCTAGGAGAATTTAGGAAACAAATTCCGGAAAAAAGTGATTTATGGAGGTTGTCGAAAGCGGAAATCGGTAGAATCTTCTACTAGGGAAAGTTTCTGGAGGTTCTTGCCAGCTTCTCAGCTTCCCCTGGAAATGGCTTTTCCTGGAATTTTATTACGATTTCCGAAACCTTTTTGGCTTGTTCTGGATGTGTCATCCGATTTTTTCTTTAAGTTTTCCCCAGAAATTTCTCAATATGTTTCCTCCAGAAGAGCTTATTTCTTCTCTTCCTTGAAGTTGTTTCGGCTTCCAATATTTCCTGGAAGGGCCGTTCTTGCCCCAAAACGTTTTAATAATTAAGTACCTAGATCCCGATTTTGCAAAACCTTTACTACCGACAAGCTTGAAAACAATCTGGCAGCGCTGCCCCTGCCTCTGACAGATGACTCTTTTTGATAGGTTTTGACTCGCTGCTGATGGCAATTTTGGGGCTGTAAAACCCATCCCAAAACTACACGGTATTAAATTTCCGCAACCGAGCGATTAATAAACGTCAGAGCGTCCTCCCCGTTTTCCCCCTTCTCAATGGCAGGAAAACACCACGGTAATAACAAAAGCGGCAGTAAAACAAAATACATACGTTAAAACCGGGAAAAGAATACGTCGCGTCTCCACTGGGAAAGGAAATAAATACGAGAGAGCGAATCAGTCAACGAGCACTTGATGATGGCGCTGCTGCTGCTGGTTAGCTGGGTTGCTTGGATGCTTGGTGCCAAAGCTAAGTGTCCATTCAAATATTACGTGTAGCTCAGTTTTTGCGACCAATTGTTACGCTAAATTTAAGGGGTGGGGGTTTTAGTTGTTTAAATGGTTAAGATAATTAAAATAGAGATTTTTAGATTGTACCGTTCAACGAAGGCGCAAGGAAATCGAAATTGTTTTAGTTTTCTTTGTGATAATTGAGATATTACGCGATACGGGTAGAGGTTACTAGACTATGGTTACGATTTGTTACAGGAGGGTGGAGTGTTCGTAAAAAAAATTGGATTTTTTTGCGTTACGTAATATTTGAACGGACCCCGAGCCGAAGATAGCAACGGTGGCTGTCAAAAATTTTAACGAAAGATTATTTTCGGTTATTTATGACAGCTTTTTAGCAGCTGGTAGTAATTTCTCGGGGTTTTTTGTGTGTCTTTCTTCGAGGATGCATCCATTCTTTTATGCTTCCTTCGAACTAATAACTGCTAAAGCAAAACTGCGTGATGAATGGTGGGGCTAAATTGAACTTACGTGTTTTATTGGGTGTGCGATTTTCCCTTTCGTTTTTTTTTTTGTCGCTGCGTGACTTTTTTCCAACTGACCTGAAAAAGAAGAAGAAGAGGAACATGAGTTAAAATTAATTTCCGTCAACGGATGACAACTTTCTTGTGCGTTGTCTCAATTTAAAAAATCAATTTATCTCGATTGTAGCTGTCATCATCATCATGGTGGCGAGCGAATGTGACACTTTGAATCGGCTGCTTACTGATTCAGTTTTTCCTGGGTTTACTGTAACCCTTTTGAAAATTTATTTGAAACATGTGTCCGAAAAGAAAACGAATCGATTCAAAGATGCCATGTGTGAGCGCAGAGCAGAGCAAAAACGACGATCGATGCTCAGAGTTAGTCGAAAATTGAAAAATCGGACCTCAGTACAACCGCCACCCCCACCTCTTTCCTTTGCTGACACGTTTGACAGTCGGCTCGTTTTTCATCCAGTTTTATGTACTCTCGCGGGAAATGCTGCTTTTCTTTTTTTTTGTTGGACCGAGTGTCATTTGATGATGGTTTTTTACTAGTTAGTAGCATCAGCGTGCGGCTACCGAATGTCTAGAGTCAAAATCCGTCGCATGGGAATCGTGTGATGAAAAATTGACGACAACAACGCGACGCAGCAGGCTGGGTGTCGACACGTTCAACCATTTTTGACAGTTATTAATTTCTAACCTCATTTTGTTTATTTGCGCCTGCATGCTGCGTCCGCGGACGGCACCGTCAAGCTGTCAGGAAATGTGAGCAACAAAAAATGCGTGCTTTATGGCTGTGCACGATTCATTTGTTTCGGCGCTCCGACTACTATTTCATTGCATTAAAAAGAACATTCTTTTCGTGTGAAGGATTTACGGCGGGCTTAACTACGACCGACGACGATCCTATCAAGGTATAACGTTGAGTTGTATTTTTTTTTATCGAATACCCAAGCAGGCTTTCGTTCGGTGGATTCTCACGCTTCTTTCTTTTGTTCGTTGTTTGCTGATTTGGGCCACGGGCAGCGATGCCACAAGTACAGATTTTGGTACACGAAAAAAGTTGGACCCCCTTGTTTATGTTGATACCGCAATCAGTTTTTAGCTCAAAAAATAGTTAATTTTTGGAACTATTTTTCTTGGTTTTAAAATAAGTCCAGGGGGTCCCAACTTTTTTCGTGTACAAAAATCTGTATTTCAGGCATCGCTGGCCACGGGACGGGAAGGTGAACAGGTGTCGCGTTGATGCACCTTTTCGTCGTCCTCTGGACAGAAAGAAGCGTGATTTTCTATTGTCTTGTTTACTTTATTTTGCACATTGGCGTCGATCATGTCATGGTTGAAGCGATCCGCGCGTGATCATTCAATTACTGCGCTTTGAATGCGAAATCGGAATCGGCGGCGCACAACTGCGCGATCTGACGGATCGTTAAATTTTTAACGATATACCCTCTCGTCATGACAGATTTGAGTATATGTAACGCCCCCCGACGTATCCCACCAATGGGGAAGGTCACTCTGGCCAATGCGATCGCCCGATCGTGATTAGATTGTTGAGAGTTAATTAAAAGACTCCCCCCTAGACCTACTTTGTTTTGGCTGTCCAATTTGGCGAGCAGTAGTTGAAGTAGAGGCTCTGCCAGCAGAACGGAAACGGTCGTAAAAGCCAATCGAGATATGTGTGTGTTCCATTCGGAATGAATAGACAAAAACCCATTGCCATCGGTTGTGCAAAAATAAACCAAGATAGAACGATAGTAATTGCAGCAGCATTGTTCTAACGACGTTGTGGCTCGTAAAACCGAGACCGAGAGAAGGGCTTTTTTTTCGTCATTGCGAAACCTTAACTTAACGAACCAAACTTGACGACAGCGGCGAGGACAAAGTTCAAGCGAGAACATTCGGTGTGTAAACAAAGGCGCGAATTACGATACTTGCCCTAATCAATCAATCCGGATTCCGTCGCCGTAATTTTTCCCCGTTTGTTGTATATAATTAACCATTTTGTCGTCCCCCAGCGTTTTATCGCAATTGTTTTCAATTGCACATTTCCCCACGCTTATCGCCGCCATCGCCGCGAGTCAACAGAAGATAGTAATTTTCCGAGAAATCGTCGTCGACGACGACGACGACGATCTATTTACTCGAATCAAGAAGATAACAACGACCCAGAGAAGAGAAAGAATGAATGGCTGAGTGCCCTAGTGTCGAAGGGGCGAGACGGGGAGACGACTCGATAACGTTAAATGAGCCGAGTAAACAGAGGAGTGTGCACCAATGTAGGATTAATTATTTTCTTGCCGTTTTTGTTCTCCCTAGAGGCTTATTTGTGATGATAGTTCAGTTGCGTTTGTAAAACAAAAATTCATTAATAATTCAACGGTTGGCTGTGGAATAGGGCTGTGCGCCGATCGCAATTTGACAGGAACGATTTTAATTGAGTTAAATAATTATTTCATTCAAAATTTATTTTTGTCTTTTCCGATCTGGTCCGAGGTCTGGAAATGGTAAGTTAAAGAAGGTAATGTAAACTCTGAGTACTGCGAACTAACTCAAAATGCTTGTCATCTGGGAGCCGAGTCAAACTGTCAACCGGGAGCCAATCATTCAAAAGAGCTCAGAAGTCACGTAGGTAGTTACTGTTTGAACCACAAGTAAAGGTGTTGCCCTCTACGGAAAACAAATTAAGAATTATAATTATGAAACTGTCGAAACATCAACCTTAGTAGGCGGATAATGTAAATCATCGAGCGTGACGCTCGAAAAAGTGTTTTTATTTGATATTAATAATGCCAAAACTGGGTTGCTAAAACAAGAATGTAATCAAACTTTATAAGAGTCATGTGAGCTTTGTGGGCAGGTGAAGTCCCATCACCATGTATACGTTATTTCTGGATATAAACAACGAATGAAAATCTTTTCTCTTACTAGATGAAATCTGTAAAACTTACGATTTTAACGACCCTCTTTTCGACAATTTGCTTTGTTATAACAGCAAATTGAAGAATCCTCCTTTGCCGTGCGGATCTATTTGCTTTTTTTTCCGAAGGAAGCGTTACTGCTACCTAAAGCTACAACAAATTCATCCTTGTTTGGACACTACCCGAGGTAATCCTGCTTGGATATCGATTTGGAAAATTTCTCTTCGATCTTCAGATTCTTAGAGTAATCTGCTTGGAATTCGATTTGGAGAAACTTTGTTCTGCCATCATGACGCCTAAGTACAAAAGAAAAGAGCAATCTCTTGATTCCCCTTATGTTGAAATTCATTTCAGCAATCAATTTGATATACTCACGGATGTTGAGAATGATCCATCATCCTGGCAAAATTCCACTAAACTTTCCCGACTTAATGCCAAGAAGGAAAAGGTCCCCCCAATTGTGATAACCACTTCCGATTTCCATGCTCTTCGCACGGAACTTCGTTAAATTCAAGTTTTCACTTCAAATTGGTCGTCGTCTATTGGCTGTAACCTTGGACGGATGCAAACGTATCTTACTGAGAATCAACATCAATTTTTTACAAAGTTGTTTGTAAAAACTAATTCCTTGTCTGTCAAAAATAAGTCAGGTGGAATAGCAGGGTTATTTAAAAATTTTCCATGTGTCAAATTTAAGTGAAAATTTACCAAATAGAACACAAACTTTGGGGCTGTTCATTAACTACGTAGACAGTTGAGGGTTGAAGGGGGGGGGTGGAGGTTTGTCAGGGGGACAAGAATCCCAAAAAAAACTGTCCGTAGTTAATGAACACTCCTTTAGCGGTATTGAGTTCATTGCATCTCGAGATACAGCTTGTACAAGAAGTTCAAGTGGATACTAGCGCTGCGTTGTGAGAAAGTTTTGAACTAATATGAGCACTATTCGAAAGTATTTGGTTACCGGAACAACTTTCCTGAAGACTGTAACCTTCTATATGGCATGGATCTCAAGGTAAGCTTATACAGGAAGTTAATGTGCACACTAGCGCCATGTAGTGAGAACGTTCTGAACTAATAAGACCAGTATTCGCAGGGACTTGATCACCTGAACAACTTTGCTGAAGACAGTAACCTTCTATATGGCAAGCATCCCGAGATACAGCTTGTACAGGAAATTAATATGCACACTAGCGCTGCGTTGTGAGAAAGTTTTGAACTAATATGAGCACTATTCGAAAGAATTTGGTCACCTGAACAACTTCGCTGAAGACTGTAACCTTCTATATGGCGTGGATCTCGAGGTACAGCTTGTACAGGAAGTTATTGTGCACACTAGCGCCACGTTGTGAGAAAGTTCTGAACTAATAAGAACAGTATTCGCAAGGACTTGGTCACCTGAACAACTTTGCTGAAGACAGTAACGTTTTATGAAGCAAGGATCCCACGATACAGCTTATACAGGAAGTTACTGTACACACTAGCGCCGCGTTGTGAGAGAGTTCTGAACTACTGTCCACCAACCATAAGATCTTGGTCCACTGAACAACTTTGCCCAAGGCAGAAACCTTCTATATGTCCAGGATCACGAGATATTCCACCAATTAAGCAGTAACAAGTCTAGAGCAACTTGGTTTTCTTTGAATTTTATAAAGGTTTTATTGGAGCAACAATAATTTCCAATAGTTTTATGACGGTCATACACATTGTCATAAAAAGTAAGTCATATAAAATACTATTTACAGCTATCTACAAGACCCTAAAAATCATATTATAAAATGAACAGATGCTAATACTATTTTGATTTCTGAAAGGTTTTATGGTTGCTTTACAGTGTTTGATAAAGCGAATTTGAATTGCTCTCATTATACCCAACAACCAATCCCAATATTAATTTATAAGCAGCCACAATAAAACTAGCTATCTATGAAATAACGGCGGCAAGTAGCTCCAGCGAAGAAGCAAGTTCTCCAGTGTTTTTTTGCGGAGGAGGCAGCTCCAGAAAGCCTACCACGCCACAGTTTTGAACCATCTTCAATTTGTATGCAGGAGCTAGAGCTGCCTTCGCAATGCTGGCCGGACGATGTCGAAGGTTAAACATTCGCCAAACTGCGCATCTAAACAGTCCTGGCCGAATTTGCATGAAAGGAGCTATCG